AGCTCTCATGAAATTCGAAAAAATATTAGGAAAATGATTGAGAGCCCTAAAAAAGTTGCCCCTAATACCCCTAATTTCCAATTTTGGAAACTGTTTTTTTTTTTCTTTCTTTTTTCTTTTTTTTTTTTCTTTCTTTTTACCCGAAATGGAATTTCGAGCCATTCGGGGCTCTCCATTTCGGGCCCTCAATCACCGCCCAAAAAAATAATAGTTCCACCCTTTTGATATAATTACATTATTCTCTCTTGTGGTTTTAGTTCACATAACAGTTTTGCCATTTTTCATCAGTAATTCGTTAGTTGTACAACTGACAAAATGATATTGCCATATCTTTTCTACTAAATTGTATATTTGTTTTTGTTTATTTTGGTGTCACTATTTACATTAGTTTCAGATACTTTAGTTTTACAAAATGAGAAGTCAACGTAATTATTTCAAAAGTGTGAATATATTTTTTGACAAATTTTAAGAGATGTAAGTGTAACTTATCCAATATATAGACTCGTGGCCAACGGATAACCCCCCATTAATTAAATTTCAATAGTCATGAAGCTGATTTAGTCCCCATGAAATATTCGTTATTAATTTCAAAGAATGATTACACATTTTTTGGTGGATTGGCTTTCCCTATCATTTTAAAATTTCACCATTTGATAATGGTTTATATTACTATCAAACGAATGATTAATCAATCCTAAATTATTATTTTTTTAAAGCATGAAGACACATGGGTCATTGGGTCATGTAAACTAAACTATTGACAATAATAGTAATAATAATAATACTAATAATAATAATAAATAAATAAATAAATAAATAAAAACTCTCAGGTAAACTCATGAAAAGAACTGGACAACAAAATACAAAGGATAAATCACACTATTAATTCCTTTAATTTTAATGAAATTTCACTTTTATGGAAATTGTTTCAATTTTATTAATTTAAATCACATACTTCTAATTATTTGTATACCTATTGTCTACAATTATTTTCAATCTATTACATAATGCATACCTTCAAATACACCCTCCGAAGGTCTTTGTAAGTATGAATTATCCTCTGTGATTTTAAAAGTTATAAATATTCCATGTTAGAATTTTTTATTTAACGGGGCTAACAAAAACAAAACAAAAAAATTAACTATTATCCTATATAATAAAAAATTACCAGAACTGTTAATTAAAAAATATTTTTAACATCATTAAAAATTATTAATTGATTTAATGGTTGATTAATGAAATTTGTAACCTGTTATGCAATTACAAATTTAAAACGGCCAGATGTAATTTTCAAAATGACAAGAGACAAGTAAAACTAAAGAGATATATTTGTAATTTATCTTAAAATTGATTATACTTCTTAAAATTTTACATGCATCTGAATGGCCAGGGATTTGTGAATTTCTATTCACTGCTATGCTTCCATTTTTTTTTGTTTTTGTCAGTTAATAAGAATAATTACAAGTACGAGAAATATTATCACTACAACAATTAACACTTTTAGCAACAAAAAAATTGGTCGCTAAAAGTCTATTTTTGGTCGGCAAAAATTATTCGCGACCAATTTTTTTGGTCGCTAGTTTGGTCGCCAATTGAGGGTCGGCAAAAATAATTCGCGACCAAAATTTTCATTGGTCGGCAAAAGTTGGATTTTGCCGACTAATTTTTTGGTCGCTAAATATTTAATTACCGCGACTAATTCATTTTGTCGCTAAAACACTTTGGTCGCAAAAAGTCGCCTTTTGCCGACCAAATTTCTTAGTCGCCAATTGACACATTTCGCGACCAAAAAGTTTGGTCGTTAATTGTGACAGTTCGCGACCAAAAATTTTGGTCGCCAACTGTGACATTGTGCGACCAAATTTAGTTTGGTCGCCAATTGTTACTTTTCGCGACCAAAACTGTTGGTCGGCAAAAGTGAATTTCCACGACCAACAAAAATTTTGGTCGGCAATAGATGTATTTTTTGCGACCAAAATTCTTGGTCGGCAATTGTCATTTTTCGCGAAAAAAAATAATTTATTTGTCGCGACTAATAAATTGGTCGCCAAAGCAGGAAAATAATACACCTGTAATATTTAGCGAATTCATAATCAAAATAGGACGAATTCATTATCAAAACAGGTCTTATTATAAAATTTTCTATATCCAAGTTTCAACACATAACTCAGCAGCAGCCACATATAAATGTCAATTGATCAATTCAGATAAATGTCAAGGAACTGAGATAGTGGCAGCATATAAGCAGAGCACAGTTTCAATAAAAACAAGTAATTATAGAAGCAGGAATCACAATCAATTGATGATATTTAAGAACCAAACCA